TATTCCAAATTGTGAGAGAATTATGAAGAAAGGGATTGATAATTGCCTCAAGTTTGTGTTTTATGGTCTGATTATCAAGGAAAAAAGTTTCTATTGAATTTAGTTTGCCCGTTTCCAAGCTAACCCATTTCATGGAGTCATCATCCTTGATCAGTTGTACAATTTGGCTTAATTGGAAGACATGAAAGTAAAGTTCAATATCTGGGACCACCAGCCCACCATAGGTAGAGACAGTCTGATGTGTTTATAGAGAACCTAGGTTTTTTTTATTAAAAATAAATAGGTTAATTGCAGACTGCCATTTTGCAAACCCGGAAGCGGAAGGGGTCAATGGAATATATTAAAACAAGAAAAACAGGCGGGGAAGCAAAAACATTTTGACTAAAGCATTTCGGCCCAGGATGGAAAGTTTTAGTGTTTTCTATACTTTCAATTTTTGTGTCATCTATTTGTTGAATGGATTGTAATTCCTGGATATAAGTTGTTGAATGTCTTAAATTATGATTATTCCTAGATAGGTAAAACCTGATGGATGGATATGCAAGTTCATGAGGGATTGCCAATGCTGCTGCTGTTGGTGGGACGTATTCAGGGTCATCATGGCAGATTTATCAAAGTTAATTCAGAAACCTGAGAATTTACCAAACACTTTGAATATCTCTTTCAGTGAGGGAACTGATGTTTCTAGGGGCCTAAGCAGACTGCCAGAAATAGTGCACATTAAATTGAGGCACTGCCCTGGCTCAGTGCTAGGGAATCATGGGAATTGTATTTTTTTCTGAGGCATTGAGCCTTCTCTGTCAGAGAGCTCTGGTGCCACAATAAATTACAGTTCCCATGATTCCCTAGCACTGAGCCAGGGCAGTGCCTCAATTTAATGTGCACTATTTCTGGCAGTCTGCTTAGGCCCTAGGTTGCCCTGAGTCTGCATTAAGTTGTCTTCTCTATCCCCTTTGCTGTTCCTGTGTGAGCCTCGTGTCATTTCTGAATCCAGGCCTCCATCCTCCTTCTGGATTTTTGGCTCTTTTGCTGCTAGGTAAAATGTAGAAATATCTTGATCCACCAACCCCTTGGTGTTAGATCTTGCTATGTTTGGCAGCCAGCCATGTGGATAATTTTGAAATATTTCATATTTCGGAATTCCAGATAAAGGCGTCTAACCTGTATTTGCATTTTTAATCTTATTAATGTTTTAACATGTAAGTTGTTAGCTACCTTTAATTATATTTAGAAAAGGTGGAGTATGTGATGTTTAAGGTCTACAGCCCTATGCTCTTCCCCTCCCTATCTGCTTTTGCTGGCTTTGAACCTTCTGGACTGTCCTTTTTCTACCTCTCCCACCAAAATGTGAATGGGCTCTCCCACAAATCTCTAAGAGCTGCAATTCACCTTTTAAATAAGTTGAAGGACCTCCCCTGTAGTGGTTAAAATCAAATCAAAACTAGTTGTTTTTAAGAACCAGGAGTAGACTTCCCACTAGTTTGGGAGTGGGGCAGTTGCAGGCGGGTGGCATTTTTCACAATCTATGAAGCTCAGAAATGCACCACAGAACCACTGCTCAGTCTTGATTTAAACCAGGGTAGGCAACTGCATGTGGACTGGGAGCCATTCCTTCCCCTGGATCACCTCTTGCAGGCCACACCACCCAAAAGGAAGCCCATACACTGTAGTTCCTCTCAAAATGGCAGTAGGAAGTTACATCACATCACTTCCTGCCACCATTTTGAGAGGGACTGAGGAAGAAAATTGACGTTTGAGGATTTTATAAGGTTTTGGGGTGCTTGTGGTAGGGTAGGGTGAGTAGTTTTGTTGTGTTCTCACATTCTTGAAAAGCTTTCTGCATGATTTGAGAGCAATTCCCCTCCCCTACATCCAAATTGCTTTCTTTTAATAAAAATATTGGGGTGTTGGAAGCTTTGGGGGACTATGGAGTACCCCAGAAGCAGGGCCAACAGGTGGCTACTATGGATTGCCAAAAAGACAAATAAATGGGTCCTAGAGACAAAATCTCCTAGACAGCCAGTGTGGCATAGTGGTTTAAGTGCTAGACTATGACTCTGGAGACCAGGGTTCAATTCCCAACTCGGCTATGAAACCCATTGGGTGACCTTGAGCAAGCCACATGCTCTCAGCCTCTGAATAAGGGAATTACAAACCTCCTCTGAACAAACCTTGCCATGAAAACCCCAAGGCCTTAGGGTCCCCATGAGAAACAACTTGAAGGCACACAACAGCAAAGGGACAAATCAAACTTGAACTCTCCCTAGAAGCCAAGATGACTAAATTGAGGCCACTGTACTTTAGTCATATCAAGAGAAAATAGGATTCCTCCAGAAAAGACAATGATGCATGGTAAGGTAGAAGGCAGTAGGAAAAGAGGAAGACTGCATGCCAGATGGATGGACTCCATCAAGGAAGCCACAATGGCTGTCCTGAGTCTACAAGACCTGAGCAGAGCTGTTGAGGACTGGGTGACCTGGACTCTCATTCATAGGGTTGCCATAAGCTGAAGTCAACCTAATGGTAGTTAACAACATTAAGGGGTGGCATGAAGCTGATGGACCTACTTTGCCCACTCTTATTTTATTTTTTTCAATGTATAAAATAAGTTTATTGTTAGTTATTGGTGATTACACACATATTTGTATAGAAAAGAGAAAATAAAGACTTACAACCAAGTTGTCCGATACATTGAGCGTGTACATCATTGTATTCCATAACATTATTCCTACCCCTCCCTCCCTCCCGACCCTTAGGTTTATTTCTGGTTGTGGTTTGGTTCATATTCAAGCATCATTTTTAACCTATTCTTCTTTTAGCCTGTGATATTAATATTCATCCACAAATTAATGATCCTGGTAAGAGTAATTATAAACTATGCTGTGTTCATATATATATATATATAATATTAATGAGCTAAACAGGAAACATAGATAATATAGACTACTCTCCCCTATAAACTATTATCTGTTTCAATCTTCAACTACATTGTTTTAGTTCGTTACGTTTGTACATGCCATTTCTGCTCACAAAAATTTATCAATGATTCCCAGTTGTTGTCCCATTCTTGAGTTGATTTGTCCGTCAAGAATATGGTCAATTTGTCTAGTTCTATCATATCAAGACATTTTGCAAGCCCAATCATCCAACGTTGGTACCTCTTTTTCTTTCCATTTTTGGGCATAAACCATTCTGGCAGCTGATACGGAATATAACATATATCTTAAATGCTTCCTTTCTTCCCTCCCCTCCACTATGTTTAATAAAAATCATTCAGGGGTCATTTTAATTGAGATTTGGGTTATTTGTTGTAAAGTTCTGTGAACTCCCTTCCAAAATTCTTTTGCTGCAGGACAGGTGCACCAAACATGGTATAGTGTCCCTTCCATTGTACCACATTTCCAACATTTACCTTTTTCATGGTGTCGGATTTTTGCCAGTTTGTTGGGTGTTAAATACCATCTATGTATCATTTTGTAAAAGTTTTTTTTTTATGTCTATACAGTGTGTAAATTTTAAGTCCTGGCCCCAGGCTCTTTCCCAAACCCACTCTTATTTTAAATAAACAAGTAAATGATAATAATACATATACTTGTCTTATTAAATATTAAGAAATATGCTTAAATGAATGCACAATAGCTTAAAAGCAATGGGTGAAAACTGTATTAGAAACCAGAAGAAATGACCATTTTTTTCAAGTTGGGTACTAATCTGCAGCACTTGTGCCATACCAGTGTGTTGGCACACAGGCACTATTTCTGCATGAAACGCAGCACAACTCAGTTCCAGCTTGAGAGACAGTTCAAGGCATGAGCCACCATCTGACATTTAAACAGTGACAAACTGAAATGAGGACAGAAGGCGTTTCATTAACCCTGAGAGTGATTAGCCCTTTGGGGCAGGTTACTTTGATTCCCAGCTGAATAGAGAACCGGGCTAATTAATTAGCTCCATTGATCCTGTCTGAGTAAATGGAAATGGAATGTAACACATGAAAGGACAGAGTAGAAAGAGAGGGGAGCCAGACTTGGACCTGTAATCCTCCTCTCAGATAATGGGCCTTCCAATTATATCTGAGCAGAGCAGCTGAGAGAACAGTCTCCTTTTCCAAACCAAGCCTTAGCTCTCCCTAGCAGCCAGCATGATCAAATTGAGGCTATCATACTTTGGCCACATCATGAGAAGGCAAGTCTCACTAGAAAAGATAATATGCTTGTCAAGGTAGAGGGAAGGAGAAAAAGAGGTAGATGGGTGGACTGAGTAAAGGAGGTTACAGCTAGGAGCTTGAAGGAACTATGCAGAATGGTTGAGAACAGGCATTGGAGGTGTCTCATCCACAGAGTCACCAAGAGTCAAAGATAACTCAAAGGCAGTTAACAACAACAAAATGAGATGATGGGTTAAACTGTATTTATTGCAGTCAGTGTCACACAGGTGACAAAAGAGCAAGTGCCCAATGAGATAGCAAGTTGGGTAGAAACACAAAACTAGAAGATCTGTCTCAGCAGAGACTATAAAATAACTCATGGTATTTTATACCCTGTCCAGTTTTCCCTGGCGGTTTCAATGTCAAGATGATGAATCCATTCCAGGTTTTATCTGAATTTTAATGGTGATATCCAGAATGCTGAAACCATTTGGGGGATAATCACTAGCCTGCCAATGTCTCAATTTAGGTGCAAAACAAAAGCCACAGGGATAGTCTCTCTCATTCCCATTCAGCTCACTCTTCTTGAATGCAATGAAAAAGTAACATTGGTCCTTATTTCCACCCCATTTCCCCTCACAAATATCTAGCTAATTTGCTTGCACAGAAACACATCTGTGTGGGAAGTGTTTCACATGGATCTGTGTGCCTAGCTTCACAGAACGTGAGCTCCTTCTTGATGGTGTTTTGCAAGACTGTTTCTTCTTTGTAAAACAATCCTGATAAAACATTTTGCAAAAATGATGCTGGTAAGTAACTATGATCTTTAGTTTTACAATGAGACCTTGCAAGGTGATTCTTAGTGCAGAATTAGAAATACAATTAAATAGAATACAATAAAATAAAAGGCCTGAATCATATTGCTAACAAGAGCAGATCCAGAGAATTAACAATTTACACTACGTACGTAAATTATATGGACTCAATGGGTCTATTCTAATCAGCACTAACAATAGAATTAATGCCGCAACTTCTTTTCAGGCACTTCCCTCTCTTCCAAAATTGTATATAGAATATGATAGTTTGGGGGCTAGGGCTACATAAGCTGAGGCTGAGAATAAAAGGCCTCAAACTTTACTCACCCTGGGTTTGATGTTCCCCTCTACACCTTATTCAAACCTACTACTATCAAAACATACAATTAAAACTTCAATTTCCAAAGGATCCATATATTCCCAACTGAAACACTGGGCAAATGAAACATGTGTCCAGCATAGAAGAAATACTCACCACACCATTGATCCCATTCTTGAGTGGCTGCTTGGGAACTAGTACGAGGTAGGTGACTATCCCCTTCTCCTTCAGGTATTCACATCGTGATCCACCATCCCCAGGCTCCACTTCAAACTCTCCCTTCAAGCAATCCATGGTGCTCTGAGAAATGTGCACACGCCTAGAAGAGCCACATTTGAAGAAAAGCTAGTCAGCCGTTATAGAATCATAGAAACACAGAAGAAATCCCAAGGGTCATACAGTCCAACGTCCTTCTGATATACAAGATACACACTCAAAGCACTCCTGACAGATGGCCATCCAAACTCTGTTTAAAAACCTCCAAAGGAGGAAACTCCACCACTCTCCAAGGCAGCATATTCCTCTATCAAACAGCTCTTACCATCAGGAACTTCTTCTTAATGTTTAGATGGATTCTCTTTTCCTGTAGCTTGACGCCACTGCCCCATCTCCTAGCAGAAAACAAGCTTGCTCCATCCTCAATATGACATCCCTTCAAATATTTAAACATGGCTCTATCATGTCACCTCTTAACCTTCTCTTCTCCAAGCTAAAATAAGCCTTTCCTTAGAGGGCTTGGTGGTTTCACCATTTTGGTCACTCTCCTCTGGACACGCTCCAGCTTGTCAATTTGTTATTAACTGCCCTCGAGTCAATATTGACTCATGGTGACCCTATGGATGAGACATCTCCAAGACCCCCTGTCCACCACTGTTCTGCCTAATTCCTGCAAACACACACCCATTGTCAATATCCCTCTTGAATTGTGGTGCCCAGAACTGGACACACTACTGGTAGGCAAATTCATGAGTGCATCCAGATAGACTGAGGAGTTGCAGATTTTGTTACTGGTGGTTAAACTAGACCTGAGGAACTTATTAAAAATATCAGATATGTATCAGGAACTGACAGAAAATATTCTGGGATAAACAAAATGTGAATGGATCTCCAAAATAAAATTGGAAAGAGCAGGAACAAAATCTGGGACTTTGCACCCCTCTTGATCAGTCTGGGTGTGCCTTCAAAGATGTCAACAAGTGGGGACCAGAGAAGATTCCAGAGGTTCAGTGGCTCTCAGTATTTACAGAAAACAGTACATTAACCTGAATGTCTACTGTAGTTCCCAGGAATATTGTACAGAAAAGACAATTATTACTTTCAATGTTTCTGAATATGACCAGGTACAATTTTCAAGCACACAGACCTGCGACAGCTTTGCTTTTAAACTATATAAAAGAGTGGGGAATGAAATAACCTTTTTAAAAAACTTATTTAAATTATAAAACACATTCAGTGCCAATAAAATATAAATTCCCCATACAAAAAGACCAAAAATTCTACCCACCTTTTCATCTTCAAAGGGGAGCAGAGAAATAAATCCAACTTTATTATCAGTGAGGTGATGAAGATCCCTAGATTCTAGAGCCAGATCACATCTTTGCACAATTTACCATGTAAGAGATTGTGCAAACAGATGAGCAATTGTCTGTGCAGCTTCTTTGTAAGATGGTTTGGTCAATGAAAACTGTATTTGAGTATCATCCTTGTGCCAACTCTAAAAATACACAACCTTTAGTTTGAGGTAGAACTCAGTGCCCTCTATTTGTAACTTAAAGAGGTCCAACACTGGGAGAGATTTACTATCTACCA